AAAATATACTAGATTTCGTCGGCTTGTAGCCTTCACTTTTCCGCTTCAAAAATGCCGACAGCTGTGAGTATTTACTAATATCCACATTTTTCTTCATAGAAATGGTTGTTCTCAACATACTGTAGTGTGTCCATAATGTGGATGGCTTTTCTATTTCAGCTTTATACGAAGGCGCTGAAGGGCCACCTATACTTTTTTTTTTTAATCCCGACTTTAAAGTCGGGGGTCCGAGATTAAAGTCGGGGGTCCGAGATTAAAGTCGGGGGTCCGAGATTAAAGTCGGGGGTCCGAGATTAAAGTCGGGGGTCCGACTTTAAAGTCGGGGGTCCGATATTGAAGTCGGGGGTCCGAGATTAAAGTCGGGGGTCCGACTTCAAAGTCGGGGGTCCGACTTTAAAGTCGGGGGTCCGAGATTAAAGTCGGGGGTCCGAGATTAAAGTCGGGGGTCCGACTTTAAAGTCGGGGGTCCGATATTAAAGTCGGGGGTCCAAGATTAAAGTCGGGGGTCCGACTTTAATCTCGGACTTCATGGATAAATCCGAAACGGGTGTTCTCAGACCCATTCTATCATATATCATTGAATTAGCTTTATCCAAGAATGAAATTAAATACATTCGAAAATTCTGAGAAAATGATCGGTTTGCAAAATACGTCATCACTTTTGTTTAATTCGAATATCCTCAATATTGACAAAATATCAATATAACATATATAATTAGTTAATTCATAATGGAAACTGCGCATTGAAAACTTGATTCTCAACGTTTTCATAAGGCTTTGAAATTTGGCTATTTATTGAAGAAGATTATGGCCCGGAAGGAGAGTGATCTCATACCTACAAATGTAACCATATATCATTGAACTCATCTTTCTGAGCTCTACCCAAGGACGGAATGACATTCAGGGTAGTTCATTTGTGAAAATATATGTTTTGTATTGTAATCTTTTTGCACCCTTTGAACAAACATATGAGATTCTCAACTATTAAGTGGAATATAAACAATCACCCTATACGTACGATAATGATCGTACAGGTGTGATCCATTATTTGACATTCAGTGTACATCCAAAAAGGAGGATTTTGACTGATCCTTATGTGATGATGGTGATTCACCATAAATGTCCCCCCCCCTAGCTCAGTTATTTTTGAACCGATTTCAAAATTTGAACTATCATCTCGAATGACTTTCGATGAGGTTTTTTCCGCTACATCAGAAAATACAGGGTGCTCGGAACAAACGATCTACAGGGTACTATTTGATTTCTTTAAAAGGAACACCCTATTTTTCATTGTATTTTTATATTCTCCCTGAAGAGCTGATTTGATCAATGCATCACACTTGGGGTCTTCCAAGAATGATTACAGAGATATAGGGTGTTCAAAATCGAGATTTTTCAACTTTAGGATTTTTTTGTGACGAAACTATTCATTATCGGTCGAAACGGCTTTCATGTCCGTATCTCAACTTTTGATTTACTATCTACTGACATTTAATAATTGGAACAGATACAGGGTGATCAGAATTCTGAATCTTGAACCACCCTGTGAATGTTCCAATTAAATGTCAATAGATAGTAAATCAAAAGTTGAGATAGGGACATGAAAACCGTTTTGACCAATTATGAATAGTTTCGACAGAAAAAAATCCTAAAGATGGAAAAATCTCGATTCTGAACACCCTATATCTCTGTAAACATTCCCGCTAGACCCCAAGTGTGATGCATTGATGAAATCAGCTCTTCAGGAAAAATCTAAAAATACAATGAAATACAGGGTGTTCTTTTTGAAAAATTCAAGTAGTACTCTGTAGATCGTTTGTTCCGAGCACCCTGTATTTTCTGATGCAACAGGAAAAAAATGTCAGTTAAATCATTTTAGATTATTCCACAAATTTTTGAATCGGTTCAAAAATAAGTGAGCTAGAGGAGGGGGACATTTATGGTGAATCACCCTGTACAGGGTGTTTCTCAAGTACATGTAGAAAATTCAGGAGCATGTTGCTGACGTCAAACTGATGAGTAACAATGGATGTATTTCTGTCCACATATTTAACGAATAAAATCTAGCTCCTAACTTCAGTTTCGGACTCCCGACTTTAATCTCGGACCCCCGACTTTAAAGTCGGACCCCCGACTTTAATCTCGGACCCCCGACTTTGATCTCGGACCCCCGACTTTAATCTCGGACCCCCGACTTTAATCTCGGACCCCCGACTTCAAAGTCGGACCCCCGACTTTAATCTTGGACCCCCGAATTTAAAGTCGGACCCCCGACTTCAATCTCGGACCCCCGACTTCAATCTCGTACCCCCGACTTCAAAGTCGGACCCCCGACTTCAATCTCGGACCCCCGACTTTAATCTCCGACCCCCGACTTTAATCTCGGACCCCCGACTTTAATCTCGGACCCCCGACTTTAATCTCGGACCCCCGACTTTAATCTCCGACCCCCGACTTTAATCTCCGACCCCCGACTTTAATCTCCGACCCCCGACTTTAATCTCGGACCCCCGACTTCAATCTCGGACCCCTGACTTTAAAGTCGGGATTCAAAAAAAAAAAGTATAGGTGGCCCTTCAGCGCCTTCGTAGCTTTACCAGCAAAATAAGCCAATATAATTTTCTTGATATACCACGGTCAGGGACTTTCTTTGAACAGAACCACATTTCAAATTTCTGGAATTCATTTTCGTACCTATCCCGGGATTTAGCAGGTACATGCAGGTACTAAAGTTTCGATTGTTGCATTCGCCGCAATTTCTATATCGGAATATGAACTTTCTTGATCCGAATTCATGCCGATAAATTTCGTTTCGAATTGAAATAAACGCTGAAAAGGAATATTCTCAGATAAATTATGAACATACAAAAATGGATATATATTTATATAAAGCAATACATTGAGAATTCGCATTCTCTATGTGATGAGAATATTTACTCTTTTTCAGTTAATTCAATAGAAAACAACTACTTTCCTGGCTATATGCCACGACGAACATTGAATTATATCCATTGAACACACACGATAAGAGTTTGAAAATAAAATATAAAAATTTCTGAAATTGAGAATTTGCATTCTCCTTCAGACAAAAATATGTATATACACACATCATTCTGAATATTCAACAGAAAACAACTACTTTCCTGGCTATTTGACACGTCGAACATTGAATTATATCTGATGAACATTCAAAAGGGGAACATGAAAAATAAAGAATAAAATCCTCCGAAATTGAGAATTGACATTCTTCTTCAAATCGGATGAATAATATGATGAATAATGATCTAGAAATATGACTTACCAATATATTCAGCATTGAAATGAAAATTGGAATGTATAGGAGAAGTATACTGGCATGAACTCTGATCTTGATGAGCTTGAAAACGTCCAAAAATAATCATTCATATCAGTGATATGGGAAATATTATCTCTCACACACAGGTTATATGACTTTATTGCAATGAACCCATTTCGGATCTCTGAATCCTCATCAGTAACCATGATGTCCACTTATTCTTACAGCCATTCTTCATGATATACACAATTTTCATCTCTATATAATACAACTAAAATCGAGTGAAACTATAAAGAAATGACATCTGAGAAATTTGTTGACAAATGTTCATCAGATATAATTCAATGTTCGTCGTGGCATATAGCCAGGAAAGTAGTTGTTTTCTATTGAATTAACTGAAAAAGAGTAAATATTCTCATCACATAGAGAATGCGAATTCTCAATGTATTGCTTTATATAAATATATATCCATTTTTGTATGTTCATAATTTATCTGAGAATATTCCTTTTCAACACTTTCATACCCAATCAGGGGGTTCAAACTTGAACGATGGAAACTTGTGATTTTTATAGACCTCTAATCGCAGATTCGTGATAGAGTCTCAATTCAGAATTCATTTCCACGCCCTGTATGATGAATGTCAATTTATCATACACCCAAAAGCAAATGAAATAAACGCGACAAAGTTGAAAGTTCGCCGAATGAGTGACAACCGAGAACGCAATAGATTCACGACAACCATACGTCCAATAACCCTTGCAACGCTTGCTTGTTGCATATTCGTAATGAATCGTCAGTTCAAGGAATATTGAATATTTTTGATTTGATAATTAGCGTTTCTGGTAGTAGGTAAAAATCGTACTATATACGCATCCTAAACTCATATTACGATAATCGATGGGTTATCAAACTCGGCCTTTGGCCTCGTTTGACAACTTTCCCATCTCATATCGTAATATGAGTCTTTATGATACTCGTATCGTCAATATCTATTACCTACACTCAGAAAGCTAATAATTTAATCAAAAATATTCAATATTCCTTGAACTGATGATTCATCAGAAATAATATGTAACAAGCAAGCGTTGCAAGGGTTGGGCGTATGGTTGTAGTGAATCTATTTTGTTCTCGGTTGTCACTCATTCGGCGAACTTTCATTTTTGACGCGTTTATTTCAATTCGAAAAAAATTCATCGGCATGAATTCGGATAAGGAAAGTTTAGATTCCGATATAGAATTTGCGGCGAATGCTGCGATCGAAACTTTACTACCTGCTATATTCATGATAAATTGATTCTCATTTCTTTTTTTGAGTAAAAATGGAATTTGAAATCATATTTTTCCACTTTACCGAACTAGTGCGGTAAAGTATCTCATTACGATACTAAAATCAGTGTCGTAATGTCTCACATTACATATTGGTAGTAGGCAAAAATATAAAACGTCATATTTAATTGAACTCATCAGATAGAAAACTGTTAGGAAATTGGATTCCAGAAAACATTTGTGATTTAATTTTTGTCACATTTCAGTAATGCAAACCAGTTATAGCTACTAAGTCTCGAATTTTATTAGACATACACGGCAGCAGAATTGATTCCTGGTAATTCCGCAGCTGAAGGGTGATTATATCTGATGTAAGCAAATAGGTTCTTTATTCAATTAGATCTAAAAAATTCGGTAGTCTATTTTCTATTATATGGTCTATACACAGTTGCAGGTGGTCCTAGGGAAACAGTATCCAGCATGGTTTCCATTTCTCATGCATTCAATTTTACATATTTGAGGGTCACACAGATCAACAACAGGGCGTCCAAATTTGTTTTCAATTTCAGCTGAAAAAAAAAGAAAACGAATATTATTTTATATATGTATCACTAGTGTGGAAAGCGACATTCAAGAATTCCCACGAGATCACATAACGAATTAATTAGGAAATACGTTTTCCCATGATGATGATACAAGTTTCATGATACACTATTTTGTTGCACACCAATTGGGTAGTGCTCCAAATAAACTAGTGCGATAATATGTCTTATAAAACGTGTATAATACTTATATTATTTTTTCCTTTTGCATTTTTTTTGTGCGTCTATATTGAAAACAATTCATCAATATAGACATCGAAGATATTAGATAGATATGAAGTGAGTATAGTTGGCAACAATGAAGAAACATTTTACTGAATATTCCCAAATTTGACAGATCCCTAATAGCACACAACGTCCTAGGGACGTCCCTATTTGGTACAATTCAAGTCTGAATGTCCCTGACAAAAAATAGGTGTCCATGGGACGTCCCATTCCTTACATCTCATGCAATGTCCGAGCAAGGACGTCCACGGAATGTCCCAGCAGGTACATCATTTCAAATGTCCTAGAAATAGCATCCCTTAGACGAGACGTGCTACATATTGTAGAATGTTCATGCAAGGACGTCCTGGCATGTCCCTGATGGGATATGATTTCAAACGTTTCATTAGGGACATCCATCGGATGTCCCGAGTAGTACACATTCTAGCATGACTCCAGATCTTATATAATGTCCCTTCTAGACAACCATGAAATGTCCCTGATGGTATACATTCCTTCAAATATCTCTGCACAGACGCCCTTAATATTTCCGGGATCGTATAACAATCGGAATTTCCCTTAGGGACATCCTTCGAATATCCCTTAGGGATATCCGTCGGATGTCCCAATTGATACATTAACTGTACTTATCCAATGTCCTAAAAATGACGCCTTACGAACGTTCCAGTCGGTACTTTCAATATGTTGTCCCTGCGAGGACGTTAACTTACACCTCTCCGACGAATGATTGCTCGTAGGCTATAAATACTCTCCGTCAATGTCCTTCACGTAAGCCCATTGGACGTCCTTGGGAAACTTTTTCAGGATCTATTGGGGACCTCCTACAGACCATCAACTCAACTGGATGTCATCATCAGTTATGCAAGATCTGTTCCTAGAGGGACCCAGTAAAATTCAAATTCAAGAATAATCCGTACGTCCCTGGGACATCCTATGGACATTCAATTGATATTCCTCAGCGTTGCTAATAGGTTGTCCTACGGATGTCCTAAGGACATCCCTCAAGGACGTCCCTATAGTTGGTCCTCAAGTGGGACATTTGTGCGTCCCACAGACGTCCAATGGACGTCCTGAATGTTCCGACAGGACGTCCTAAGGATATCCATGGGACATAATTGTGTTATTAGTGATGTGAAAAAAATTATTCAAATCAACACATCATTATTCCAACGATATAATTTGAAATTGTTGGTCTATCAAAATTCTGAATTTCCTATTTTAAGAAAGACTGAATAGGCAAACTTGAGTTGCACACCTCATAAACCGAGGAAATTTGCCCAAACGGCTATAATTAATTTGTTGTTGAAGAAACCCCGTCCAGCTTATGAAAAAGAATTCCACAATTTCCAACTATGGTGTCAAATTGGCGACCTATACTACCACACTCCACACTATGTAAATATTAACGCTTCTTGTTGACCTATATACCGCAATGGTAACTGCATAAATATAATTAACACAATTGAAAAAAATGCCAAGATTCAATGCAGAGAGAAGATTAAAACTAATCTTCTCTTGAAGATGCTAACATAGGTAGTTAGCGAAACACGTGTCGAGGTGTAGAAAATCGATTTGGTTGAAGTGGTTAAACAGTATGTAGTATATCTTTAGTTCTAGTATGACCCATTTACCAAATCCTCAGCAGTAGCTGGAGCTCAAATTTTTTTTTCTGTGACGGGAAAAAAGTTTGGCATTTCATCTCTGTTGGCAGGTTATGAAATGTCACTTTTCGTAAATTACTTTTTTCCCGGATATATATCACATATATACACACTGTTGATGGCTTTTGTTGTGCTATAGTCCCGAAAAATGAGTCAATAATACCGTCTCCGAGAAAGAACTGCAAGTCCTTTTATCTTCCATTCGACTTCGCGGTTACGTATATTACTAAACAATCACTGAATTCGCAATTTTTTGAAATCGAATCACATAATTAGACTGACAGAAGTGACATCAGATATTTGATTACTTCAAAAGAATGATAAAGATGCCTACAACGCAGGTGTCCCTATACTGTTAAAAACTTAAAATTTCACGTCGATAATTTTCAGATTCCAAAATAATGTAATATCTTCTCAATATTGATTCGGCCTTACTTCTGTCACAGAAAAAAATAGTGTATTATACACGGGAAAAATATTAGATTTCAGCTCACGGTTTTTTATCTCCCTCCGCTACGCGTCGGGATATAACACAACCTGGAGCTAAAATCTACTACTTTTTTCCCTTGTATAATAAATAACTATTCTTTCCAGCCTTCATGGCATTATCTGATGCCTCTATACCTCACAGTCGCATTGCACAAACAATAATTTGAATAATCAGACTAATGGGCATAATTTGGTCTGAACCAGCAAATGCCAGTAAATGCTCAAGATACCTGTTATACCGGGTGTTCACAAATAAGTGTCACAACGGAAAACTGTAAATTCCTCATAATAAAAGAAACATTTTTTTCTCTTCAAAATCTTTCTCCGGGCTCCTGTTTTCAAGATACAGAGCGTCAAAGAATCAGAAATGTTCAGTTTAATTAAACACACTTTACAACACTTGATAAACTTAACAATTTGAGAGCCAGCATCGAGACCAGCATACTCAAGAACCTGTCATTTGATTGAACATATTATTAGACAGTTCTGAGGTGTTTATTTCCAGTGGATTTTCAGAAGATTTTTGAAGATACCCTCAGGATTTTGTATGTCCTATTCAAAAAGAGCCATTTTTCGCGTAAAATGTTCACTTTAGAGCATTGACACAAGAGGACGTTTTTTGTGTGAAAGATATTGGCGCTTCGAATCTGCTATGAAAATTACAATTTCTCTAGTGGCATAAATGTTTTGGAGGTTATACCCTTACCTACGAGGCGTTGAATTCTCCTCCACTGACAAGTCCAAGAAAATTGATCAAGATCCCTAAAAGTAGTCATTATTGATGATGAAGTGTGTACGGAGGCTCAACTTCGTAGCTCAGACGGTTCCTGAGATAGTAGCAAAAAACAGAAATTTCGAAAGGGAGAAAAATGTTGTTTTCTTTTCATGAGCAATCCACAGTTTCTCGTTGTGACACTTATTTGTTAACACCCTCTATATTATGATTATTCATTGCGTTCTGTTTCTAGACGTCATTGTGTCTGGCAGTTTGACGTTGACATTACCATTACTAATTTTGAATCAAGAAATTCAGCGTATCCAATAGTTGAGCTCTTTTCTGCCTTGAACGAGAGAGAGAGGAAAGTTTTATCCTCTTCCATCTTTCTCTTCAATGCTACCAACGTGACCGCACTGGAATATAGAGAGATCCGATTAATCTTTCCTTGTCTAACATCTAGTTTGTGCCACTGAACTATTTTTGGATTCAACAGAGTGTCAAATTGATGATATTTACAAAATATGTCGAAATAAGTATGATATAATCTGTAATTTCATTTCAAAAAGTTGTACGGTTCAGTCAATGAAATTTATGACACAGACCTATCACATCATTATAATCTGAACTAAAGTCCCTGTATATACTTTAGACAAGAGTCCGGACACAAAACTGACAGCCGTTGGGGTTTTTAATATTTTGTTTCATTTGGTTTGCCCACCTGACAATGTGACGAAACACCATAGTCGTCTCGCCCACTTTTTTAAATTATTCCGAATTTCTGTCACTGTCACTTTGAAATTTTATGACCGCCAAAATTTTGCATTTCAAATTATTTCAATGTCCTGCTGCGTACATTATTGCGATAATTCATTAGAAAAGGGATTCGAGTTATTCAATTTTCCGAATGATCCTTTAAAGATAATGTCATGGAAGAATGCAATGAAACGTCCAGAATGGAAAATTAATTTCAAGAAATCCGCAATATGTGAGGTAAATATTCGAATTCACTTATGAAAACAGTACAAAAAAGATGAATTTTAGGCCCATTTTGATAGAGATTCTTTCAAGATAATGGATTTCAAATTGAAAGAGTCTGCTGTGCCGTCAATCTCTTCAAAAAAAGAGATCCGTCGTCATCGTATTGGGAATTACTGAATAATACGATCGCAGAGAAAGAAAATGAGAATGAGATGATGCGGGGAGAAATTGAAAGTTTGGAATCAAAACTAGAAGATTTAGGGAAATTGCAATGTGCTATGTCATCAGTCCACGGTGTTTTTGATTCAGATCAAATTAAAAAATATACTGGTGAATGTAGACTGCAGGAAGAGGTGGGAAACCGACACAATTAAAATTATATTGAAACAATTATATATCTTCTATTTTTTTATATCCCAAAAAAACAACTATATTTTGTTGGCTATATGTGATACCACGTAGAACACTTAAATTATCTTTCTTATATCTATTGAAGGAAAGAAATATCTGATGACGAAAACTTGCAATAGCCATCTCAGGAATTGATTACGAAAATTATCGATTCGAAATTTGAACACCCTGTTGTTCATTATTTGAAAATCTAATAGTTATTCTAGTTAAAATATCCCTATTTCTCACTTCTATCTACGGCTATGAACGGTTTGACTAATAATCTAACCCTCAAAATTGTTTCTGACAATCATTGATACTAGGGGAATTGAAAAGACAGAGCTCGATATATATGTCTTATTCCTTTATTCAATCATCAATGCATTTTTTGAAAACAGAAAAGGACAGAAGTATAGTTGTGTCCGGACTCCTAATCTGAACTAACTGTAATTTCTCACTAGAACTGAACTGAATCAGTTAACATGCATTCTAACTAATCAAATTCTTCATAATAATAACAGCGCTCAATACTTCGAGTCCGTTCACACTAGGCAGTAAATAAGGAAGGATAGAATCATTGAATGTACTCGATATTGATTAATTGATTCAATATGATATTTTCGTTCAGGATCGAGCTCTATTCGAGATATTTTAATGCATAAATAACAAAACCATAGCCTGTCAGAATAAAGCCAACTACCTTCTGCATTCCTGCTCCGAGTTTATTTGTGGTGATGTATGTTTTTGTTTACCAGTTTCACTTTTTCTTCTATTTTTTTCATCCGTTAGCTATTCGTTAGCTATTCGCTAGCTATATTCTTCACCATCATCTATTATCAGAATAGATTCAGAATGTACGTCACAGTTTGCCGCTCCGAAAATTAGAAATTGCTTCAATTTGAATATAAAAACGACTTAGACTTCATGGGTCGCCATTATGTACAGCATGGACATACAAATGGAGAGTTCCAAACCTATTTTATGGAAATTATTCTGAAGGAAACTTCCCCATTAGCGACAAAATTTACGAAATATACTCTTTCTATAATCTATTTAGTAAAAAATGGCTTATTCAAGTTCAAATTCCTCAAGTGATAACGAGGAAGCAGCACAAAATTCACTTTACTCTTCGTCCATCCATATTTTTATTATTTTTTGAATCGAGTTCGCTGTTACAGGATGGAAACCCTAACAACACATAGATGTCCTAGGGACGTCCCATTTATGTCCCGCGGTACAAGGACACGAATGGGACATCCAGAGGGAGTCCCGCAGTGATTGTCCAGTGGACATCCTATCTGGTACATCCATAAGTTGTCCCATTCGTGTCCCAGATGATTATGAAATAATTACAAATCATCAAACTTCTTGTTCTTTAAAAATTCGAAGTTGGTATTTATTTTCTATACCTATATCTACCTAGATACCGATCTCAATTGTAATTAGGTACCGATACATACAATTTTTTTGTTTGAATTGATCATTAATGAATTATGAAAATATTCCAAACGAAATTGCTGAGAACTGACTCTTCCACTAGCATGAAATTGTAAATTACATTCACAATTCTGTCTATTAAGTGCGTTTCGCATTATCTAACAGGGATGTCCTATAGGTACGTCCATTTTTCTTGTCCCACGGCACAAGGACATGATTGGGGCATCCAGGGGATGTCCCGCAATGGTTGTCCAGTGGACATCCCGCTCGGTACATCCCTAGGTTATCCTATTCGTGTTCCTGAAATATCTGATATCCATTCACATATCGGAGTCATTGAATTTCATAAAATATTGAGTTGTATTTTTTTGAAAATAATTGTAATGAAAATAAAGAATATAGTCTCAGAATTTGTTGAGAAATGACCATTTTTCGCAAACAGAAATCGCAAATGCATAATCCCCTCATTTTTAAATACCCATAAATAATAATAATAATTATACCCAAATCCCAAAACAGAGTTGTATTTATACAGTTTTCTGTAGTACAGTCCTGTTTATAAATTTGTTTAGTACATGAATCCTCAAAAGGCACAATAGCCAATGGAGCAAGGTGCGTGCCTGATAAGCTGAAGGTCCCGTGTTCAATCCCAGCTCGACCTACATTTTTTTTCTTTTGTCGAAGGTATGTCCCTAGAATATCCTTGGGACGTCCTAGGGATATCCTTTCTTCGTACTCGGTACATTCCTGGGACGTACCGGAAGGACATCCCTAGGATGTCCTTTTCGTCTGAAAGTAGATGTCCCTGGGACGTCCCTAGTATGTACTTTGTCCCGACACACAATATCCCTGGAATGTCCTAGTATAAAATTAGGGATGTCCCTGGGAAATCCCTAGGATGTACTCGTGTTGTTAAGGAAACCATAGTGAATGTAAGAATCTTCACATAAACAATAAGATTGCTCGCTCGCTAACAGAGTAGCTCATTCTTCAGGTGAAATACTGTTAGAATCAACTATTTTTTGAAAAAAATTGCACTAACCTAATTCTTTCTGCCTTCTTTCGAGCGCTGCTTGTAACCCTTCCTGTCGTCTTCTTTCGTATTCTCCCCTTCTCTTTTCGTATTCTTCACCATTCGTGTCTTGTTGTCTACTTCTCTTTTCTTGTTCTTCTCTTCTCTTTTCTTGCTCTTTCCTTCTGTTTTCTTGCTCTCCCCTTCTCTTTTCTTGTTCCCTCTTCTTCTTTTCTTGTTCTTCCCTTCTCTTTTCTTGTTCTCCCCTTCTCCTTTCTTGTTCTCTCCTTTTCTTTTCTTGTTCTTCCCTTCTACTTTCTTGTTCTTTATTCCTCCTTTGTCGTTCTTCCTCTCTTCTTTCTTGTTCTCTCCTTCTTCTTTCTTGTTCTTTCCTTCTCTTTTCTATCTCTTCTCTCACCTTCTCTGAACGTTCTCTGGAACTCGTATTTTCATCACTATCGATCTCATCACTGTCCTTGTTTTCTTCATCAGACTTCTGTTTCTCCTTTGAATCATCATCGTTGTCATCGTCGTTTTCTTCAGTTTGCTTGGATTCGTTATTGTTCTCGTCTGATTCTTTATCGATTTTTCCTACGTTAACTTCTTCTTTTTTCTTTCCTGGTAACAACAGTGTTAATTAAAAAATCATCTATGCGATACATCTTCGAGAGATATTGAACGAAAAAATGAGAAGGTATCTCTAGGAATGTCTACTGTTCAGAATATTCCGAATCTAAAATGTATCATATAATTGGAATATACAGGGAGGAGCATATAAGTGCGTCGGAGCTATCGATTGCTCGAGTTCTATGATTGCTAGAAACCTAATTCAAAATTGAATGTCAATAATACAACAAGGTCCATAACAAGAGATTATGGTCATACCGAAAAAAAAAATCTGGAATGTCGAAATCATTTTCTCAATGGATCCCCTGTATATTAGCACATTTTTTTGGAGCATCCCTGTGACATCTATCCATTGACTATATCTTGATCATATGAAAGTTATACATATAATGATTTCATCTGCAGATGCATACTGAAAAAATCACTGTCGTCGCAATAAGGAAATTTCATTTGATGAAAAGATGAGTGATATCTTTGAAGAATTTTCATGCCTCAGGTTTTATGCAGGAAGTTCATGTTTTGACTTCACATCAATTGCCAGAAAATATATGGGATGGGGTGTTCCATTTGAGAAAAATCGAGAAAAATCACGTCGAAAAGTTCCGAATTGAAAAATCATTTTTATCCACCCTGCCACCCTGTATACTTTAAGAGCATGGGCATTCTTCAGAAATATCACGCATCTTCATTTTATTACGATTATTTCATCTTCAATTCCATAATGGGCTAATATCACAAAAAAAATTATTTCATAATTCGATAGAACTCACCCAAATTAGCTCACCACCGCAAACCGTTTCTTGCTGTAAGCTCCCTACGTTTTATAAAAAAATATTGAAATCCCCGATTTTTCGGACCTCTGAAAACGAGGCGATGATGTGTGAAGTCAAAACCCTAATACTGAAACAAGACTCACAGTTGAAAGAATTAATATATCAGTTGCCTCAGACTCCGTCGGGCGTTTGGTATTTTCTTTTAACTATGGCGAGATGAGGTTTCTACGTCATAAGAGGGGCCGTTTTCACAAGGCACTATTATTTATATCCAAAAATAAAGCATTCCAGTTAATTTTTCGATCGAATGATGTCGTCAATCATTATTTATGTATAAAAGGATCATTATGAACCTGGTTTGAGTTAAAACTTCTACTAAGGTGTACACGCTCATTGTGACGACGGTGATTTTTTTGGAATTTAGCTGCAGATGACATTATTTCGACAAAAACATTCATAAACCTGATATGATCGAGATATAGTCAGTAGTATTATTATGAGTACTTCAAAATATTCGGTTCATACATCGATAACTTGTTGCATAACTTAAATGAATGCCAGTATCATCATGTTGAACTGACAAGATTTGTAATTGTGCAGAAAGTTTGAGATTTATGACCTTGAAGATTTCGAAGTTCGAATTAGCGAGTGGACTGATAATAAATTATTGGCATTCAATTTCACCCCTATGTCGTAAGAAACCTAAATTGATTTTTGCCACACTTCTAACGATTTTGTACGTGAATTATGTCCCCTTCCTGCCGATTGATCGACGGATGTCCTATTAGCTCAATTGGCAGAGCGTTGGGAATGTAACCCAAAGGTTGTGAGTTCGACTCTTATGCGGGACGGTGAATTTTTTTCATTTTCCGCTGTCACTCGAAATTAGGGCTTTCCATTATGTTCATTATTATACAGTATGGTGGAAATGTATGGAATAAATTGATTATCTCTGGGGCATATGAATTTGAAAAAAAATTCTGAGACAGGTCGTTCTTGATTCTCAAATTGACACCTCGTGATATACATACGGAGTTTGTTACGTCATCCGCGTAGTTGTGGTGACGTCATCGATCATTTTTTTAAATGGAAACATCCCCTTTACATATCTTTCTTTGGAAGGTATATTTATTGTCTTTCCAACCATATACTGACATTAGCAAAATAAATAAATACAGGGTGAGAAAAAATCATTTATTATTCTTTCTGTGAGCCTCATCTTACTAGAGATAATGCTGAATAGTTTTATTTAATGTCACAAATGTCACCTCAAGCCTCATCAATCACGGTATACATTGTTTCTGATGTATACAGGTAGAATTTTTCATTTATTGTAATTGTTTCCGTTGTGAATATAAAATAATTGATAATTTTTCCTCACCCTGTATCACTTCATTTTGCTCATATCGGTATATGGTCGAATAGACAATGAATATACCTTCCGAAAAAAAAATTAAAAGGGGATGTTTCCATTAAAAAAAATAATCGATGACGTAACCACAACTACGCGAATGACGTTACAAACTCCGTATGTATATCAAGAGGTGTCAATTTGAAAATAAAAACCAACCTGTCTCAGGTTTCTTCTTCAAATTCATATGCGTTAGAGATAATTAATTTATTCCATACATTTTCACCATACTGTATCTTTTCGGTCGAGTAACCGACAAAAATGATCCCACATCCTTCTATGTATAGATTGCTTGCGGACATTTCCGTATACCTACAAGGAGAGACAATGCCAGAGGACGAGCGGAGAAAACTGGAGACTGTATAGTACCATCCTGAATGAATGATTTCGAGTGACTTCGGGATTTGGAGGGATTCTACCGCCTGGTGTGTGATGAGAACTCGACCTTCCTGCCGATTGATCGATAGATGTCCCGTGAGCTCAATTGGCAAAGCGTTGGGCATGTTAGCCGTGTGTTGATGATTCCGGTCAACCCAACCCAATCCTATTTTCGTTTTCCTCCACGCCCACCTCCCTCTTCTATATATACACGAAAAGCGATGATGAATTCCCCTCAAGTAAAATTATCCGGAAGTAAAATACCTCTCCATTCAGATTTCCGGGCGAGAAGTGCTGAAGGGGGTTCACCATCGGCAGGAGAAGTCCTCAAGATAGACATCTGTGGTCTGAGTAAGAACATCAACGATGTCCTCGACACCTCCAAATTGAAAAACCAGACATAATCTTCAATTCATTCACCAACACAACCTGTATACTCTGTGCTGGGTACGAACTCCACCCACGTTTCAGGTTCAAGAAAGGCCTCTGCCTCTATTTCGGAACGAATATCTCATGTCATCGAGGAAAAACTTCGGTACCAAATTAATTTGATATTTTGTGGTTCAAACCCGATAGCCAGACACATATCAAATTTCTCTGTTGTCTCTACTTATCACCAAATGATCCATCCTATGGAGATCTCTTTGAATTCTTGTGTCTGAAGCTCGACCAAATTCCATTTCAATGTACACAACACTGCTTGGCTCGTTAACTCTAACAAAACGGATGAAGCAGGGAGACAAACCGAAGCTTTCGCCATCACTCATGGCTTAGAGCAGCTCATCTAGGAACCCATACGAATTCCGCATGGCAATAACCATTCAGCCAACATACTTGACTCGCTCCTCACTGATAATCAAGCACCTTATATCATAGATGTACGAGCTCCACCTGACAATTCTGACCATACACCCATCTCCACAACCTGACCATTCTCCATTCCATCAACTGCTTCGGCACCACCACAAATTGTATGGCATAACAATTTATTCACCTTATTCTTTTCTCCGAGTTTTCTTGGCACAGAATATGCTTTGACTCTGAGGGTCCTTCAAAGTGTGCTGCGGAAATATTCTTCGAAAAAAGCAAACTATTTCGGCACCACCACAACTTGTATGGTATTGAAATCCAGGAGACTGGGATGGTCTCCCCATTTTTCCTCCGAGCTACTTCGGCACAGAATATGCTCTGACTCTGATGGTCCTTCAAAGTGTGCTGCGGAAATATCCGAGATCATCACGCTTGGAATAAACATATACTTTATACAAACAGCACTGGCGCAAAAACCCTAATCTTGCGACTAGAGCAGAAGACGTTGGAGACAGGAATAACTGCAGTCAAACAATAGATGCATCAAGAATACTTTCAATGTTGAGATGAGAACGAAACTCATAAATTGTCCCAATGGATCCCGTTCGTTTTGGTCTCTCGCTGAAGCAGTCGGGAGAAATCTCACTAATAGTTCATTTCCACCACTTCTCAAAGCTGACGGCATCGCAGGAGGAAGCAGATATTTTTGCAGAGATGTTCGCAGCAAACTCTACTCCATATTCCCAAGGTAAAGTGCCGTCAGATATTCCACCCGTTGGAAGTCGAATGCCCGGAATCGTCTTCCGTCAATGCACTATCAGACGCATTTGGCTTGGTCTCAAGACGCATTTGACTTGGTCTCAAAACGAATAGGGCTGACGGTCCTGATGGAATTCCAGCCATTAACCTCAAAAAATGTGTACTAGAATCAACACTTAGTCTCTTCAAGTTATTTACCATCTCGTACGGGTATTTAATTTTCAAATGATAATTTCTGGAATTCAAATCGACGGTCATCTTACGTAGTGACGTATCTCAGTTTTCCTAATTTCACAGCAGAGCAGTTCAAAGATTTTCAACATCTTAATTAGCTCATATTTCAGAGGGTTGTTCATGAAAAATCATTATTCTTTCATTTATCAGTGGATGAACTGAAACTAGTTGTCATGATATGGTGAGATTTCGAAAAAGCATCCCCAAAAACGAAAAAAAAAAAAGGTATGAGATACGTCACTACGTGAGATCATGTTTGTTAATGGAGCCTCAGATACACCCATGGATATCGAGTGAATTCAAATGATTAACAGATCTGAATATTCAATTTTATTGATAATAACACAGAAATTCATTCCACTTGTACAATCCTCCTTTCAGTACCTTGATATACGTCACCCGAGATATTTTAAATTTCCGCGACAAACCCGATGTGAGATACGTCACTTTCGACATTTCCAACACATAATGAGAATATTTCTCACGTACTGACGTAACTCCTATAGTTAGGTCACTTCGTGAGATTCGGTAGTCCAATAATTTGAGATAGGCTGGGTATTAGATTTTCAATTGCACGAAAACCATTGAATATTGACTTACGCCACTTGTGAGATCATAAAGTACAAGAATATAAATCATTTGACGAAGTATCTCAGATTCCGATTTTTATGAGATACGTCATTACGTGAGATGACCCACGAAATGATACCTCCTGAAATTCAATTGACTACTATTAAATACAAATGAAGAAGGTGTAGTGACTGTTATTCTTCATCTTTACGATGCGACAATTTTTTTTCTTTTGAGTTTTCTTCACCTAGCGTTGTTTTCGAAAAAAAAAAGAATGGAGTATATTGAAATATAAGTGACATACCTTGTGAATTGTATATCTATACATGGTGATTCTATTCTTAGAAGCATAATATAGACAGTTGAAAAATGGGCGTTCAGATCGAAAAAAGAAAAAAGATTTTCCTTCTCTCCCTATCCTCCCTAGCTAAGCAAGTTGTTTCACGAACATTATGGAGATTTCGTCGAGTTCGTTTCAAAAAAAAATTAACTAACCTAATTCTTGTTGTTTCCTTTCGAGTGCTGCCTGTAACGCTTCCAGTCGTCTTCTTTCGTATTCCTCCCTTCTCTTTTCCTCTTCTCTCCCTCTTCTTTTCTGTTCTTCTCTTCTACTTTCTTGTTCTTTTCTTTTTCCTTCAAGTTCTTTCCTTCTCCTTTCTATTTCTTCTCTTACTTTCTCTGCTTCTTCCCTCGAAATCTTCTTTTCATTACTACCATCCTCTTCACTGTCTTTGTTTTCTTCAACAGATTTTCGTTCTTCCTTTGAATCATCATTGTTTTCATCGGAAGGATCATTGTTAGAGTTATTATCGTTGTCATCGTCGTTTTCTTCAGTTTGCTTGGATTCATTGTTGTTTTGGTCTGATTCTCCTGAGTTGGCTTCTTCTTTTTTTTCTGCTATAATAGAATGACAAATCATAAATTAATTCATGATAGCAATCTCATACTGTTATTCCGATTTAACGGTATTCAGACGACAATTGAAAAGTTAATGTTAACATCCTTCGTCCGTTAAGTTTATTTAATCAACCATTCCCATATGGAATAAGGAATGTATGAAACAATCTAAATGGATAATTGATCAGAAGACAAGCAGAACTTTGGGGTACATACATTATTGAAATTCACTTCTTATAACAGCAGATTAGAATGAAATAATATTTAAGGCCCATTTTTGAACAGAAGAGTTCAAGATCCATTGAAGAGAACCTGCTGTTTCATTCATTTATAAAACAAAGATATCATGGAGAGGGGAAAATTGATTGCAAATCTACGTGATGAACTTGAAAATTTGAGAACGAGAATGAGGAAATCAAGTGAATTTCAACGTGATATTGTCACTAGTAGAACATACGGTATATCAGTAATTTCGAACCAAGGCCGGTTGCATGAAGAAAAATGAATCATACAATCAACTGATGCAACAATAACTTTGATGTTATGTTGAATATCCTTTGCGTTGCCTAAACAATATGATTTTCTAGAATTGCCAGGAGACATAGCCACCACGTGTAAAACAGGTCATAATAAGTTAATTGGACTTAATTCATTTATGTAACAACATAGATCGGTTGTCCGTGAGACGAGTTAAAAGTTTACATAAATGAACACATTTTTATACGATCTTCAAAATGATTGAAACGAATCCGATGAAATTTTACAAAAGTGCGTTTTAGAGGGATAACCCTCCTTTTGATAATCGAAGAAACTCAAAAGAGATTGAGGTAGGGTTGAAACGTTACCACCGATACAACAAGGCCAGCAGACTCTGACGTAAACAGCTCGTGACGTCACCAAGAGAGGCCAGTGTTTTATCTTATCGCTTGTCGACTAACGCGTCAGTTCGTGTTAATTCATCGGTGATTCACGTATGTTTTTGGAACGGTCCCGAACTCTTTTGTTGTTTATCCATCAAAATAATTGGCGGAAAAATTACTGTTTTGTGAAATATTTTGTGTTGTGATCGGCGAAATAACAATGCCTTTCAAGTGTTGTGTTCCCTTTTGTCGGGGAAATTATGTGGGTGGTCCAAAAGTTCATGCTTTTAGTTTCCCGTTGGACAAGGAGCTATCGAAAATGTGGGTTTATGCAATTCACCGCGAGGATTTTACTCCATCTAAGTTCAGTAGTAAACAGAGCTTAATTTATAATGATGAATCAATAATAAAAGACAATTACTCTCTCATAAAAAGTATAAGTAGAGGAAAAATAGAGAAGCTTTGATTGTGCAGTTAGTTTTGTATTCGTATATTATAGTCAACAAAATTATCTCTGAATTCGAGGAAATTTTCTTGAATGTTCATAATAAACGGGCATTTTTGATTCTCATTCTCAAATTTTTTTCTGAAAACGGTCATTTGCCTCGTAGCAATGAATGCAGAATTCATCCCAATGATCAAATTGCAACTATCATATCAACATGAACTACAAACACTCTACTTAAAAAGGTAAAACTGCATTTATCATGATATTTATCATGAAGATATTTGACTAAAAAGTTCCAAATTTCACCTTCTTTTTCACCTGTCTTCTGGATGGCATTTAGAATAAATTTCCCTTCTTTTACCATCATATTGGACAATTCATATATAATTCAACTACAAATATGACTTTCTTGAGATTAATTCATATTTAGTGATAAGAAGGAAGAATATCATTCAAAATAATGGCGTGTGTAATGTCATTCGAAAGCAATCTATTGACATTTGACATCTCGTATTTCGATTGACTATTGATTACATGGTCGCCATCTGGAATGCTTGTTCACTAAATATGGAAAACTCGCCATGAAAATCATATTTCCTGTTGAATTTTCTATATAAAAATGTGCCATCGAAGTACATCATGAGTATATAAAGGGTCCGATGACAAAATAAGAGCAAGTAGCTTCAAATGCCCCCAACACAAGGGGAGAAAGAAGGCGAAATTTCGAACTTTTTCTTGAAATATCTCAATAAATAGTGGTTTGTTCAAATTTTCATTATAAAATTCGGTTTATCAGACAAAAATTCGTGAGTACCGAAAAAAATTTTCAAAAAAAAAAACCATCGTATGATAAATGCAGTTTTACCCTTAAAAATTACGGTTTCAAGTGTAACGATCCACTTGGGTGAAAAATCCAACAACAGAAAATTGAAAACACTCACTGGTTATTTTTTCCGGTAATAGGAATTCTCCAAGATAAATATAGGTAATTGTAACAAACGGCATGTCAATCAAAATAAAATACATTTTCCACAATTTTCTTTCGATCAATCTCACGATAAGTTTATGTTCTGCGGGCCCTGTATAAGTAGGTGTGAAGTTTACCTTCACCACAATTTTTGCCAATATATTTAATTCGAATGGGTTGCTGTAGGTGGATATTTGTGTTTTATCCTGGTTTTTGCTTTAAAACTTCGTTTTTCCATAATAAAATCGAATGGGGTGCGAAGAAGGGCTCAGTTGACGACTGGCATCCTTTTTTAACCGGAAGCCCTTCAAAAAACAGCAAAATCGGCTCAATGATGATCTAAAACTAAAATCGCGGTCGTTTCGAGCCGCTGGTTAGGCCACACTAAGTGACGTCACCCACGGAGCATGCAGGCCTTGTTTTATCGGTGGTAACGGTTGAAACCACCCTCACTCCCTGACATTTTTCTTCAGATCATTCTCAAGGGTGATAATAAGGTTCTAAAATTTTTTGAGCGAGGGGACTGATCAATTGTCCTCATTTTGTTACTTGTGTAAAAATGTCTTATTCCGCATAGTTCTGAAGGAAAACATTTTTTCCTCTCGGAGTGCTTTGATTACTGTAAGAATGGTTATTCTCTCAAATGCACTTTTGTCGAATTTCATCCAATTCGTTTCGCTTATTGTCGAGTAGCCTACAAGAAGAGTTTTTCTCTGTAAACTTTAAACTTGTCTCACGGACAAACGGTAAATTTTTTCATGTAAATAAGTTGGGTCTAATCAACTTATTTTGAACTGTATTATACTTCTGAGTACCAGCAATTTTGAGACATCCTGTAATTCCCTAGATCAGCACGATGTTTCACGAACATGATGAGAATTTCCATTCGTGCATTTTCAAATGAAATAGAATGTACTTACCTAATTCTTTCCGTCTTTTCTCGAGTGCTGCCTGTAACGCTTCCTGTCGTTTTCTTTCGTATTCTTCCCTTCTCTTTTCATATTCTTCCCTTCTCTTCTCATATTCTTCCCTTCTCTTTTCTTGTTCTTTCTGTCTCCTTTCTTGTTCTTCCCTCCTCCTTTCTTGTTCTCTCCTTCTCCTTTCTATTTCTTCTCTCACTTTCTCTGCTTCTTCCCTCGAATTATCTTCTTCATCACCACCACTCTCATCACTGTCTTTGTTTTCTTCATCAGATTTCTGTTTCTCCTTTGTATCATCATCATTGTTTGAATCATCGTTGTCATCGTTGTTTTCATCAGTTTGATTCGATTCTTTGTCGTTCTGCTCTGATCCTGAATGGTCGCCATCATTCTGTGTTTCTCCATTGTTTTCTCCTGCGTTGGATTCTTCTTTGTCTCCTCCTAGTTATAATAATGTTTATTCAAAAGTTCATTCATGTGATACACTTCTTCGAGATTGTACTTTTTCTACTTCGAAAACTCTACTTAGAAGAGAAAAAATGTATGTATCACCAAAGGCGCGTTAAAGCGGTAAATGAAGTCTATAATCATCTATAATCATACCTAGATGCAAACCGGTGAGGTTTCGATTAACTTCTACTTCAAAGATCGAGCCCCTAAACAGCTTACCTAACTTCTTGAGAGTTGGTGATGATGGCCTGGTAGCTGGATGCCGGTAATGAATCTATGGGGGCCCCCTTCTGGACTAGGTTGGTGTCGTGGATTAATCCAATTCCGGAGGCACTCACAAATGAGCGAAAACTTCCTATATGCGCAACCCGTTTATTTTCTCCATCAAACAAAGAGAATAGAAAATTCGTCGCGAAAATCACTCTCGACGTATCGTAAACAATTTCGAGCGGAGTTCTAGCGAGACTGCTCGTGTCCAGTTCTTCGTGGGTCCTGCTTTGCTCGGCGAGGTTTTTCAGACCTCGATAAAAAACGTTAATGTTTATCACTCATTTCGAGCTGTTTAGGGCAATACCAGAAAAACGCGTTTATTTTGAATGAAATGGAACGGTATTGCATCTCGGATGATTCAAGGTTGAGGAAATCCCTCTATCTTGACGAAAATAGAAGTTCCCTAATTAATTAATTAATTATTTTAAGTGAAAACTTAACATACTCCCCCCCCGGGGAATGCGATGGATTAATCGCGTTTCAATAAAGGCTATGAATAGGAAAGAAAAAATAAAAAAAAAAATCAATCATCTGAAGTCTTTGCGGGCGATAAAAAATTAAAAAAAAAAATAAAAATAAATATAGAATGGTATGTACTTATTAGGCTATGGGAAGCGGACATAACTTGATGAGAGGGCGTCGGAACTCCCCACTCTTCGTCCTCACGGTAGCAACTCTAGCCACCCCATCTGCACCAGGATGCAGTTGAGTAATGCGGCCTAGAACCCATTGAAAGGGTGGAGCGTTGTCATTTTTAATGATGACTAAGATTCCTGGAGATACAGGAATATCCGAATGAAACCATTTTGCGCGTTGTTGGAGGGTGTGCAGGTATTCCAATCGCCACCGACGCCAAAAATCATGATGCAAGCGTTGAAGCAATTGCCAACGCGAAAGCCGATTCAACGGCGCGCCCGTTAAATCCGGATCAGGAATAGAACCAAGCGGCTCTAACGTTAGAAAGTGGCCTGGCGTTAGGGCGGATACATCATTGGGGTCCGAACTGGCTGAAGTCAATGGCCTAGAATTGAGAACTGCCTCAATTTGCACCAACAGTGTATTGAACTCTTCGTAACGTAAAATTTGAGTTCCAATAACCCGTGCGATATGGGTTTTGACCGATTTGATTCCGGCCTCCCATATACCGCCAAAATGAGGAGCGTTTCCTGGCAAGGGATGAAAAGTTATATTTTCCGAATTGGCGGCATATTGGATATAATCTTGTAAAATTTTGGAGGCACCCAAGAAATTAGTACCTCTATCGCAATATATGTCCGAGCACCTTCCTCGCCGTGCTACAAATCTCCGAAGCGAGGCCAAAAAACATTCACTAGTTAAATCAGATGATAATTCTAAATGTATGGCCTTTGTGGCTAGACACACAAAAAGACAAATATACGCTTTTGTTGTCTTTGAACCGCGATGTCGGGTCATAGTCAATATAAAAGGACCTCCATAGTCCACGCCTACTTGGGAGAAGGGCTTGACTTGGGATAACCGTGGGACTGGCAGATTTCCCATAGGGGGCTGCAAAGTGGTAGGTTTCGTTCTCCAACATTTCAAACACTTACTTAGAATGGTACGTATTGCTCGTTTGGAGCATAATATCCAATACTGTTGGGATAAAAGGAATTGTATTGTGCGGAGGCCAGCATGTAAATATTTATTATGAAAATGTTCGATCAGCAATTGCGTGAGTCTACTTTGCCGTGGCAATAATACAGGGTGTTTGTGATCGTAAGTCAAGGGCGCATAAGTTAAACGACCCCCGACTCGAAGGATGCCTTCGGAGTCAAAAAAGGCATTGAGTTTTTTCAATGGTTTTGGAAACGTATCGGAGTCAATTTCGTGTGGAAATGATAGTAGCTGAGTGCGTTTTACTAATAATTTCGATGCGGCATCGAGCTCCCGAGAAGACAAAAAAGCGGTATGTTTTTTAGATGGGTTTTTAAGGTTATGTATAAAACGTAAAATCTGGGCAACAATTCGTTGAACCACGGTAAAAGATGATACCCTATTCATCAATACGTCGATAAAATGTTCAGTTGTAGCAGCGATCAGACATTTTTTACGTTCTTCGACGGGAACATCAGAAAAATGCGGAGAAAAGGTTTGGGACAAAAAGTCGACCTCAGGGTCAATCAAAAAGGGTGGTCCATGAAACCAAAGGGAGTGGTTGATCATTTCGGCGGGTAATAAACCGCGGGAAGCGACATCGGCAGGGTTTATTTCCGATCGAACATGGAACCAAGAAGAGGGTGGCACTTTTTCCTGAATATACGCAACCCGATTAGCCACGAAAGTGGGCCAGCGCGAGGCATCTGATTGGATCCAAGTTAGAGCAATCTGCGAGTCGGAATAAGCAAAACACCGGGAAAATGAAATGACTTCTTGGAATTCGTGCTTCACCCATGCAATCAGTTTTGATAATAAAACTGCTCCGCATAGTTCTAAGCGGGGTATGGAAATCGTTTTGATAGGAGCGATTTTTGATTTTCCACAAGCGAATGAAGTAGATATTTCCCCATTAGGATTAACAAATCGGAAATAAATCACTGCTCCGTAACCCTTAGACGAAGCATCGGAAAATCCATGAAGTTCGATTGATTTATAGGTTTCAGGCCGAAGTCGTCTAGGTAGACGAAGTTCTGAGAGTAAATGTAAATCTGTTTTATATTGAAGCCATAACCTCAAGATATCATCAGGCGGAGCTTCGTCCCAATCTAGGCCCCTGATCCAAAATTGCTGGATCAACTGTTTAGTAAAAAACGTGACGGGAGCGATTATCCCAAGCGGGTCAAAAACACGGGCCAGTTCGGACAAAATATTTCTCTTGGTACATTCGCGATCTAGTGTACTAACAGAAAAAAAGAAATAATCTCCTATGGGGTTCCAACGAAGCCCTAAAACTTTGATGGAACTTTCTGTATCCGGATTCCAAGATACAGGGTCGACAGCGAGATGAGAGGGAGGAAATGTGCTGAGCAATGACTGATTATTGCTGGACCATTTCCTCAATTTGAAGCCTCCTTTCTCGAGCAGACAAATAAGTTCATCTCTGAGAGCTTCAGCCTTGGCGTAGGTAGACTCCCCGAAAATGACGTCATCAATATATGTATGATGACGAATGACATCAGCAGCGGCGGGAAAATTATTTTCTTCATCGGAGGACAATTGGCGTAAGCAGCGAATCGCGAGATAAGGTGAACAAGACAGGCCAAAGGTCACCGTGCGTAATCTATAGTCGCGTAACTCCTCAGTAGGTGAAAAGCGGAACACTATTCGCTGATAGTCGCGATCACAAGGTGCTATTAAAATTTGGCGGTACATTTGTTGTATATCAGCTGTGAAACAGTAATTATGCAATCTAAAATGTAATAATATGGCGGTTATGTCGCTTTGAAGTTTCGGTCCGGTCAGAAGACTTTGATTTAGGGAACCTTGATTAGGGAGTCCGGCACTAGCGTTGAAAACAATCCTTAATTTAGTGCTAACACTTTCTGGCTTCAAAACAAATGTTTGGGGAATATAGTAAGACATGGGTGGAATATTTGTCGCTTTCGGAAGCATTTCCAAATGGCCTAACTCTAGATATTCTCTCATGACTTTGCAATATTCGTCATAAATTGAACGATTTTTTAACAATCGATTCTCTAATGCAAAGAATCGGCGAACAGCCAACGCCCGCATTCCCGGAAAACACGGCGAGGGCTCCCGGAAAGGTAATGGTACGATATAACGACCATTGTGGTCCCGGCGGTAATTTTCTAAAAATATCTGTTCACATTTTAGATCGTCAGGTGAGGACAAATGTACGTCAGGAACAGATTCTATTTCAAAGAATTTTTTTATTGTGTCTTGTAAACTGTCATTTTCGACTAATGAGCAGAATAGCGACGTAACTACCGGGGATACGGATGGGTCTGTCTTGCCCAATAAGACGTATCCAAAGATAGTATTCAGAGCGTCTGGATATCCAGGAGTACCTACTACACGACCTTCTACCAATAATCGTGAAAATATATCAGCTCCCAAAAGGAGCTCAATTTCTCCTGGTACATGATAAGTAGGGTCAGCTAAAGATAATTCTGAATAGGGTTGCCTATTATGGACAGATAAGGGCGTGGACGGAATTTTTTCACAAATTTTGTGTATTATTAAAGCGTCGATTTCAAAAATAGGAACGTGTTTGCCTATGGGCTTGATATTCAATGTTACTCCTCCAACATTAGTTAAACATTGAGTTTCCCCAAGACCCTGTATAGTAGTTTGCGTATAATATTTTTTCAAATTAAGACGATTGAAACATTTTACTGTAATTAAAGAGGTTTCTGATCCACAATCTAATAAGGCGCGAACTTTGTGATAGATTCCTCTGTTATCTTTAATTTCTACCAATGCGGTAGACAGAAGTACTCGAGAGGTTTGGGCGCGAATAGTAGAACAGGTGTGTACATTAACTGATCGGGGCGGTTCACTATGAGTGTGAGAAGACGAAGAAGAAGAGGTGGGATTCTGTGATGTGGAAGGAATATCTGACGTGGCTCCCGATGAACCTCCCGATGGGGACGTCGATGTTATATAATCGTTATGTAACGACGTGTGGTGTTTTTTACCACACCTTCCACAACCGAAGCTAGAACCACAGTTTCGGGTTTCGTGGAAGTCACTTAAACAATTCAAACATAAGCGCTGATTTTTGCAATAGTGATATCGTTCGG